TGCTACAGTGGTTATAAAATTTTGTTATTAAAATTCAGTTTTTTTGAGCAAGAAATTAATACATTTCAAAACTTTGGATTCAAACTATGAAATCGCTTAAAGAATCACGCTAAATATTATGAATAAGGTCCAAAAACTCGTTTTTAGTATAACTTCATAATCCCTACCCAAGTATTCATCCTCTAGCAAAACAAAAAAAATCAAAGAAAAAATTCGCGAATTTAAAATTTTTCAGCTCTGGGCGTAGCAAACATCTGGCAAATGTTAATTAGGTACTAGCACGACACGACTTCCAAACCCATAAGAATTCATCAGTTTCACAAGAAGGTATCCTGGCAAGATGTCTTCGCAACATTCTCTGCAATTGTACCTTGTATTTTGGTGCCTTGGCACGATGCCTTTGCAGCATTTTCTGTTATAGCAGCTTCTGAAATTTTTACTCGAACTTGCAAAAGTTGCTGGAATTATAAAAACAAAGAATTTTTGCAAATAGCTTTTACGTGTTATCAAAATTCACAGCAAAGAATAACAAGCAATAGTATAGCATTAGCAGAAGTAATTAGACGGTGCGAAACTATCAGTTATGGGATAGGAAGTCAAACTCGCCGGCAGCTTGTTTACAACAACCCTCAATAAATGAGGATTTAGTATTCCCTCAATGATGCAGTCAATTTAGCCTGGAGGCTTTTTAGCGTTTCATCACTGGGTGAAAGCGAAATATGATCTTTCTTATTCAGCTGATTATGCTTTTGATAGCGATAAATATGCAGTTTGGCAAGGTTGACCAGTGCGTTCAGAGCAAGCGGTTGCTTTTTCCTTCTGTAACCGCGTAATACCAATTTACCATTGAAACGAACTGATTAGTAACTGATAAGCTGGTTTTAACCGAACCCAAACGTCCAACAGTTACTTGCAGTTCGAAGTGCTTTTGACAAAGCGACGAGTTTAAAGAACGAATTATTGAATTTCCGTTCAGCTCGGCAGGAAATCAGCGAAAACCTGTTTGCGTGATAACATAACACTCCCCGCTGACAAAAGCTTCAGTTTACATAGAGATCACACGGTGTTTAACAATTGGAGATAGCCCTCAACTCATTCAATCGATCCACAAAAGAAAATTGGTTTTTCAGAAAGCCTTTTCAATAATTTTGCAAAAATTAACCCCAGGCACTCATAAGACCGAAGCCCCGCTTCTTGCCTGCGTGTTGTAAGCAGCAGCTAATTTTTTAGCAATAAAAATCCGTATTCTAGATATCCGGAAGATCTGCAATTACAAAAATCCTGGTTTTCTGTTTTTTGGGGCTATTCGTTTCCTGGCGAAATTTTGCTTGTTGTTTGCAAATATTTTCGAAATGCGCAGCTTTTGCAGGACTGAAATTCGTTTAAATATAGGAACGTTGGATGGCTGAAACCGGAGTTCCTGCAATGGCAACAGCAGCAGCGTTTAGGGCGGAAGAAGAAAGAGTTGGATTCACAACGAATTCGCCAAAGCAAGGTTAAAACTGGATTTGCCGGAGAGAATTTTAGATAATTAACCTTATGTTAAGAGTTTTTTAATTATAAATTTGTGAAAATGTTTGGAGTAATCAGTTCAGCTGCGATTCACAGTCCTGTTCGCATCCGTGCAGGTGGCAGCTTTTCCGATTGCTTGGACCACGGTGTGCCACCTGGCCGTCAATTCGTTGCTGGCGATGTTGATGTTCGTTTTGCCCCTTGAAGGGATTATCAGCTTCACGGTTTTCCTAGCAAAAGCATTAGCATTTAGCAAGGTTTTTACTATTTCGTGATGCCCCCGGTGTTTGTAAAGCTCAGGAATTCGTCTCAAACTTTGTTTTTCCTTTTAAACTCTTTCGTCTTAAACTTTTCAGGAGTTCGTCTTAAACTTGATCATGTCAAAGTATTTTATTAATACTTTACTCATTTTTTTTACCTTCTGCAAATTCAAAGCACGGGAAGAAGTACAACTGCTCAACCCATTAGCAGGCAAAAAAATTGCTTTACTCATATTTTTCCAGACCGTATGAAAGAACGACACAAGCAAAGTCCAATAAATATAACCAAAGGAGCAGTGGATCACGACAGCAACTTAAAAGCATCCCATCTGAAGTTTTCTTACACCATGGGTGATATCAAAACAGTGGAGGTAAGTAATTCCGGGTTCTTTCTTGGATCCTTTGCTACAGTGCACTAAATCATTAAGTGAGCAACATATTTGAGTGGTACTCGAAAGACAGAAAACAATGATTTTGAAGATGTCGTGTATACTACATAAAGAGGGTAGTGGAAAAATTCTGAACAGGTATGCCTGTCATGGTTGCACTTGAAGTCTGATACCATCTCAGCAGAACCTTGGGCTCTATTCTGAGAGGCTAGAATTTTGCACCGGTTTCGGACAATAATTATCAATCTATGTATAAACGTACTTTTCGTCGATAAGGCGCTAAATCGATGTCTAGGAGCCCCTCACCACCTACCTCGAAGCCTTGACAGCAAAGCCAAAGTCTCAGCATCAACGCTCAAACATTCTGTTATCAAGCCCTAGGCCCTCAGATTTGTTTTTTTTTAATGTTGTTTTTTTCTTTCTTTTTTATGGTTTTAATAGATTTACATCGTGCTCCTTTTGATTTTGCAGAGTGTGAAAGTGTGTGGGGGCTCCAGGTCCTTACCATCAACCGATAAAGCTCGATAAACAGACTTAAATCGTACTAACAGCTCCAAACCCCCAAAGCAACCTCATACTTTTCACCAACAACCTAATAGTCTTATACAACCAACGCAGCTATTCTGTATTTTCAGATAACGGAAACAGGCTTTTCATGCAGAACAGGCAAAAACTGCACTTCTGGTAACCGAATTTAAGTTTGATTAACGCATTCTGTGATTTCTCGCCTAAAATTATTAGGAATAACTATATGCGTGTAAGTACATATAGCTAAGTGTATAAAGGGGAGTGGGAAATTTATTACCAAAATCAACAAGTCTGCTATGTCTTTTTGCTATAAACGCAGTCGTTTTTTTATCCCGACACAGATTTTCAGGATTTTGACGAAACTGAAGGAAGTGTGGGTTCCTGATGAGCTTAAAGTGCTGATTTATTACTTAAACAAATCAATTATTCGTAAGTGAGGACCAGTTCCGGCCATCTAAACCGTAGCTTGTGAACTAGATATTGCGATGATGACAGAGTCCGGAATGAGCTAAACATTTTTCAGTAACTTGTATAAGCAAGAATCAACTGTTTTTGTTCGAATTATTTCAGTTCTCACTGCTCCTCATCTTCCGGGCACTTATGAACTCTGGGAGTTGCATGCTCATTGGGGACCGGATAAAAATGCGGGCAGTGAACATTTATTGGAAGGAAAAGCATTTCCCGCTGAGGTATGCCAAAATTTTTCAAGAATTTTGAAAAAAAAA